CACCCATTGACCCCCGGCATTTCCCCCTCCTGCACCCCCCTGTTTTTCCCCACTTTCTCGGGGCGCAGCAGCGTGACGTCCCCTCTCTGGTCTTGCCCCCCAGTATTTTGAGTACACGAGCCAGTGGGAGCTGCGGCACAACATCGGGAAGGAGCTCTGCCTGCGGGCAGGCTCGGGCTTGGCCGAGCTGGGTGACTGCCAGTACCGAGGGAAGCCCGGCCGGGTGCCAGCCAGCGAGCAGTGGGACCTGGTGCAGGTGAGGAGATGCCTCTCCATCCCGGGAATCGCCCAGGGGGATGGTGGCATCATCCCCACCATCATGATGCTTCTCTGCTGCTTCCCCTCGGTCGCATCCTTTCTTCGTCCCACCACCATCGCTGAGCTGGTGCCGTCTTTTATTTTTCGGTAGGACCGGCTGATTAAAAACCTGGCCTCCGGTACGTGCTTGACGGCCCGAGGGAAGCACCCGGCGATGGTTCCCTGCGACCCAGCGGACCCCCACCAGCTCTGGTCCTTCACCTAGGTGGGGAGCAGAGCGGCCCGAGCCTCCGGCCATCCCCAACCGCACTCAGGAAACCAGAATCCAAACAAACTTCGCCTTTTTCTTTTTTTAATTTAAGAAGCGAAAGCCTTTAATATGCTGCATTTCACGGTTGCCTTGAACTCAGTCCCGTGCCTTTGGAGTGGGAAGGCCGGAGAGCCGAGCTCGGCCGGCGGTACCCCATGGAGCCCAAAACCTGGAGGTGGCAGAGATGCCTGAGGCTGCTCTTTGGTACCCGGCTGCTGCTCATCCTTTCCCTCTCCGGCTCCAGCCAGAGACTCTTAAATTCAGATCGGGCATTAAAACCGCGGCCGTGCCGCCCTGCACGTGAAAGCTGGGTGGGAGACTCCTTCCAGCGAGGAGGAGGACGGCGAGCGGCCGCGCGGCTCGTCCCGCGGGAGGGTGGATCGCAGTTTGGCGTGGCCCTGGGCGGGCGAGGGATTCCCCCCGGTGCTGCCAGGGGATGGGAGAAGGCTCTCAGATCCGGAAACTCTGGATTATTTTTTTATTTTTATTATTATTATTATTATTATTATTATTATATGATGATGATTCCTGGGTGTGATTCTGCTCATCCTCGTGCTGAGCTGGAGGAGGGTTTTTCCCCGGATGGCACAGCTGGAACGCACTGCGGCATCCTCCCGGGGAGGCTCTCGCCGGCGCCTGGTGAAGATCATCTCCCTCCCCTGGTTTTCTTTACTGTAGCTGCCACTTTCGTTGCCATTTCATTTATAGTGGGGGGCAAAACCCCTCCTGGAAGTGGGGTGGGGTGGGAGAACCTGTCCTTGGATACGCGACCTCGAATAAAGAGATGATTTATTTTGCGGACATCCCGGCTCCGGCTTCCTCCCAGCTCCCACCCCTCCTCTGATTTAATTTCCCTCCATCTTCTTGCGCTGGAAACTCCCTTTTGCAGCCCAAAAGTGGGTTTAAAGCCACTTTTGCAATGAGGTGTCACACGTGGCGTGGTTTGGATTTGGGGTCTCGTCCCTGTGCCGGGATGGAGGCTTCACTGTTGTCCCTCGCTATGTCCCCTTCTGTGCTGATAAAGCAAATAATCACTTATTTGGAGACTGTTTTACGCATGAAATCTCGTGTTTTCCTTAGAGATAAGAGCAGGAATTTTTTAGGAATGCAGCAGGTGCTTTTTTTCTTTCCTTATTTTTTTTTTAACTGCGTGCACCGATAATCGCTGCTGTTACAAATGCTGTTTTCCAGGGGCTGCTCCGTCAGCGGAGCGAAAACCTCAATGCCGCAGGTTCACCCCCCAGAACGGCCTCCATTTCATTTTCAAGGGGGGAAAAAGTAAAACCGTTTTGGCCAGAAATCAGGTTTTTATTACAACCATGTTGGTGTTTCATTTAACCTCAAACCCCCCCCCCCCCCGGAGGTCGCGTCCGGCCCCTGCTCCAGGGCTGGGTGGGTTTTTGGAGGGGGTGAAGGTCTTACCCTGCGTTTGCCTCGATTTCCCCATTCCGAGGGCGATGCGGGCACCGTTCTTGCATTGGATAAGACTCTTGGAGGCATCCTGGGGATAAACGTGATGTGAGAGCTGTCGCTGGGGCAGCCGTGGGGCTCGAGAGCGGGAGAAACTCATGACACCGTTGCCCGAGACGTGCCGAAGAGGGAGAGGCAAGGGCAGGGCATCGTCGCCCCGGGGATTTGCGCTGCCTGTCCAAAGCCCAGGGAAACTTGGGGTGCACCCAGGGTTTTTCGGCCCTGGCCTTCAGGGCCGTGTGTTTTGGAAAAGGGACCAAGGCTGCTCGATAGGGCCGCGTCACCTGCGTTTCTTCCCGTCCCTCCTTCTCCATCCCTCTCAAAGCCGGCGGCGGCGCAGCCCCCGACGCAGACGATCGCCGCCGTGGTCCAGGATGATGCTGCAGCTCGTGCTCCTCGCCGCCCTCGCCCTCTGCGGTGCGTCCTCCGCGGGAAGCCCTCGGCCTCCTCAGCTACCAACGACCCCCCGCTTGCGATTCACCCCCTGCCTCCGTCCTCTCTCCCGCAGGGCGCTGCTCCGAGCAGGATCTCGATGGGGTGCAACGGGTGGTCGGTGGGACTGAGGCGCGTGTGGGCACTTGGCCCTCCCAGGTGGGTCCTTCCCGGGGTCGGTCGGCAAATCCCGTGGGCGTCTCATCCCCCCGGGACCATGTGGTGAGACCCCCCCGTGTCTCGCATCCCCCCCTCCCCAGATCTCTCTCCAGTATTACTCCAGTGGCAGCTGGCATCACACCTGCGGAGGGTCCCTCATCCGGAGAAACTGGGTGATGACAGCAGCCCATTGCGTGGATCGGTGAGCGGGCACGGGGACCCCCCCTTCCTCTCATGGAAAAGCCGTTTTTCCACCAAAAACCTCCCCAAGGAGAAATTTTGGCTGCCCCAACCCAGAGAGCAACGGTCCTTTAAGGTCTCTGCTGGTCCTCCGTTAAGGGGTTGCATGGACCTTCTCTGGGAGCATCTTTTTCTTGCGCTGATCCTTTCCATACCCGCTCACGGTTAAAATAATCATAATTATTTATGGCCTGATCCTGTGGTTTTTCGCCTTCCCGGCAGTAACATGAATTTCCGCGTCGTGGCCGGCGAGCACAACCTCTACGCGAACAACGGCAACGAGCAGGTCTTCAGCGTGAGCAAGATCATCATCCATCCCTACTGGAACAGCAACAACGTCGCTGGGGGGTAACGCACGTGGGGAGGGGGACTGGGGGCAGCGTCCCTGGGAACAGGGGGGACCTTGCAACATCCTCTCCCTCCTCTCGCCAGCTACGACATCGCCCTGATCCGCCTGTCCAGCTCTGCCACCCTGAACCAGTACGTGCAGCTGGCGGTCCTGCCCCAGGAGGGGTCCGTCCTGCCCAACAACTATCCCTGCTACATCACGGGCTGGGGTCTCACCCGCAGTGAGTGCCGACGGTTGCCCCGGCCCTAAATCACCCCAAAAACGTGGGAAACGTGGGGAGCTGAATGATATTTTTAAGCCCTTTGAAGTCCCAGGAGGCATCACCCAGGGCTTCACTCCGGGCATGGAGATGCCCAATGTTGGGCGGGGTCATGCCAAGGTTTGGGGGGATTTTATGCGGGAAAAGGGTCTCAGCGGTGGCTACGGGCTCTGCTTTGGTGGGGGGGTCGACAAGCCTTGCAGGTCTTTGCCAGCGCGGCGTTAACCGGCGCTCGGTTGCACGCAGCCAACGGGCAGCTCTCCAGCGTCCTGCTGCAGGCGCCCCTGCCCGTGGTGGACTACCAGATCTGCTCCAGCTCCTCCTACTGGGGCTCCACCGTCAAGCCCACCATGGTCTGTGCCGGCGGCGACGGCGTACACTCCGGCTGCCAGGTACGGCCCTGGCATCCCGCTTTCCCCCCCCGCCATCCCACCACCATCCCTGTTCCTCCCATCTCATACGGGTTCCTCGGTCCGGCAGGGTGACTCGGGCGGTCCCCTGAACTGCGCGGTGAACGGGCAGTACCAGGTCCACGGCGTCACCAGCTTCGTCTCCAGTCTGGGCTGCAACGTCCAGCGCAAACCCACCGTCTTCACCCGCGTCTCTGCCTACATCTCCTGGATGACGAGCGTAAGGCGACAGCAGGGCTCGGGCGGCCGGAGGCTGAGACCTGGCGCTATCATTGCACCAATGCATGGGCTCGCCTCAACCGTTGCCTTTCTTCTTCTTCCAGGTGATGGCCCAGAACTGAGCGGTGGCAGGAGAAGAGCCGCGTCCCCGGCTTGGGGGATGGACGTCATCTTCCGCCGCGTTTCGGTCGGAGGGGTTTACAACCCAGAGCCGGCGTCAATAAAATCTGTTCCTCTCTCCGGCGCCCTGGTGGATGCTTTGCCCTGCGGGCCCTTCTCCTCCAAGCCTCAGCAGACTTTTCCCCTCCCATATTCCAGAGCATCCCTTCAGCCGCGTCCCTCCTCTTCCTCGCACCTTAGGAAAGAGCTGGGCGGAAAAGCAACCGGCCCCGCGCTCTCAGGGCAGCCAGAAATTCCTTGGGATAACGGGAAAGGGGAAAATGCTGCAAATCCCTTCTGTGGGCAGTGATGCAGCTCCCTGGGGATGCGGGGGGGATCCAGGGGCATCCAGTCGGGATTTTTCCCTGCCGCTAGCTCCATTTCTCTTCCAAAAACAACCTCTTTGCAATGAGAGATGTTGGATTTGGTGGCTGTTACTGCCTCGCCCCGCACCTGCGTCCTGGAGGAGTTGACTGTGCCACAACCCCACCTGCCACGGGGATAAAAACCCAGCACCAAAATTGCACCAAAAGCCAAATTTAAACCCAAACCCAGAGGCTTGTGGAAGAACGAAGAGGCGGGCGCAGGTTCCCCATCACCCGTTCGGCCGCCCGTGTCGCTGGGTGCACGGGGGAGCCTTTCCGGGGGGGGAGCGCGCTGGGGGGGTGCCTGGGTGCTTGGCGGATGCCAGCAGCTGCCTCGCCTCGAACTTCCTCCGCAGCAAACATCAAACCGCAGCGCGCGGCTGCGAGCAGGAACCGAGCTGCAGCCATGGCAGAGAGCAAGAGCGGGGGAGCCGGGCTCTTCGCCAAGCAGGTCCAGAAACGGTTCAGCCGGGCGCAGGAGAAGGTACGGCGCGATGCTCACCCCTCACGCCCAGCCCTCAAATCCCTCATTTTATTTGAATCTCATTTTTTTTCCACTCTGGTGCTGAGGTTGTGGCACAACGGGCACCGCTTGGCACCCGTGGGTGCTCATAGGGTGTTAATTTGGGCGCTGCTGGGTCAACGTCATCGTTGCTCCAAGGCTTTGGGCTTGATGGCATCTCCCCGGAGTCCCTCAAGCTGCTTCAGCAACTACTGGGTTCTCTAAAAGTGGGATTTTTCCACCCAAAACGCTTTCCGGAGGTTACGGGGGGATGGCGCGCTGCTGGCATGGGGTCCCTTGGGCTGGGCGGAGGCGACGGGCCCCGGTGGGACCTGGCGTGGGGATGGTCCCAGGAACGCCAGCGTAGCCCGCACCGGCCGCGCAGGAAGCGAGGGGGAAGGGCTCCGGAAGCGGGCAGAAACGGGGCGATTCTCAGCTGTTTTGGGGCAGTTTGAGGGCGTCTCTTTCCCCTCCTCTCCCCAAAACAGCAGGCAGCGACTCCCATTTTGGGGGCGATGCGAAGTCCCCCCCACACCAACCCCACATGCTCCCGGGCTTCCTGGCTGGGGCTCGGTGCTAAATTCGGCTCCCCCGTGGCCGTATCAGCCTGGGCCAGGCTCCAGCTGCTTCCCGGGGGGGCAAACCCTTCCCGGACACCCCAAAGCTCCCTCCCGCATGGCCCCAGCCTCGCTGTGCTCCTGCGATGATGGCTCCGGAGGCAGCCTTCGGCCGCAGCCCATCCTCATCCTCGGCACGGTGTCACTCTTGCCCGGCAAGGCAGCACCCAGGGCTTCACTGCACCCATAGTCAGGTGCATGGATGTTTTGGGATACATAGGGCTGCACCTATAGGGTTTTATAGGGTAGGGTGATGGGTGAGCACCCTAAACGTCACCGTTTTCCTCTAAAAAATAAAAGCACCAAGGGAGGCACCGAAATTTTGCATCCCCCATCCAAATCCCTGCTCGGCATCGGCTCTGCTGGATCCTCAGCATCCCCCCGGGAGGGGCGTTCGCCGGGGCCGACCCTGCTCCCCGCCAGGAGGCAGAGCCCAGTGGGCAGCGCCGAGCTCCGGGCTGCCAGCTTTTCCCATCTCCCCATCTCTCTCCATCCCAGGTTTTGCAGAAACTGGGCAAAACGGTGGAAACCAAAGACGAGCAGTTCGAGCAAAGCGCGTACAACTTCCAGCTGCAGCAGGTCACGCTGGGGAGCGGGGAAAAGGGGGGGGACGGGGACACCCCTGCACCATCCCTTGACCCGCTGCCTCCCGGGGTCCCTCTGTCCTCGGCAGGCTGACGGAAATCACTGCCAGCCCTCGGGGACGGCCCTGACCTGTCCCCTCCTTGCCGTGCTTTGCAGAATGAAGGCAATAAACTCTACAAAGATCTCAAGGCTTTCCTTGGCGCGGTGAAAGGTACGGCACCCCGTCCCCAGAACTATGCCGGGAAAGCCCCGTGGGCACCGCGGAGGAGCTGGGAGGGGGCTGAGCATCGCTGCATTTCTTACCTGGCATAATAAATAATAAAAATAACAAATAACAAATAATATTTTTCGTCCCCTGGCCGGGCTGCAGTGATGCACGAGAGCTCCCGGAAAGTGGCCGAAACGCTGCAGGAGATTTACAGCACCGACTGGGACGGTCACGAGGAGCTGAAAGCCATCGCAGATGTGAGCCCCTTGATGTCCCCCCGCTGTCCCCAAGGGTCCCCTTCGAGCATCGGGGGGGTCCCTGGGGATGCAGCCTGGCATGTACAGCCGGAGGGGAGGCTGGGGGGGGGAAGCCGGGCGTTATACCCCTGCTCCCCCTTTCTCTGCCCCGCAGAGCAATGACCTCCTGTGGGACGACTACGAGGCGAAGCTGGCCGACCAAGCCCTGCGGTTGATGGAGAACTACCTGGCTCAGTTCGGGGACTTTAAGGTACCCCCCCGTGCACAGCGTCGGGGGGCCGGGGGGCCGGATCCTGGCTCACCTCGCCCCCCGTGCAGGAGCGCATCGCCAAGCGGGGCCGTAAGCTGGTGGACTACGACAGCGCCCGGCATCATCTGGAAGCTCTGCAAAGCGCCAAGAAGAAGGACGAGGCAAAAATTGCCAAGGTCGAGCCTCCTGCGGGACCCCTGCCCGGCACAGCCCCCCACGCCCCGGCCGTGCCGGCAAAGCCACGGCCCCCCCTTCCCTCCCCGCAGGCCGAGGAGGAGTTTAATAAAGCCCAAGCGGTGTTCGAAGACCTGAACAGGGACCTTCGGGAGGAGCTGCCGGTTCTGTATGGCAGGTACCGGCGGTGTCACAGGGGCTGGGGGACTTTGCGGGGCTGGGGGACATTGCAGAGGCTGGGGGACTTCACA